TCATTAGTGAGCTGACACAGGTGGATACCTGCCCTTGCGTTTATTGGAGCCAAGCGGTTTCATCGGGAGTTTTGGGTTCCACTCCAAAGGATGGACGTGTTTCCGTCCATTTGGCAACCAAGTTGTGCTCCATCTCCCATTTGGGGAACCTACCAAAGAAGCACTGCGTGTTGACCAACCAGTCGTACAACAGACTGTTTGTCCATTGTTTTCAATCCACCCCGCTGGAAACACATCCGATATTGCAAACAATGGGAATCCCGCCCGCTTGTTAAGGATTCGCAAAGACCAGGAAGAAACCAACCACCGGGGTTTCCTTGGAGATCATGAGACACACCATGTAGAGGGAGCGACTTTTTTTGGGGGGGGAGCCCTTTTTCGTGCTCGAAGGGAAACCGGCCGGCTACAGGCGTGCTGCCTCGCGGAGGCGAGACAGGGATTAAAATATAGGGGAGGGCCATCGCAGCATGCAGAAACCAATTCAGCCTTGTTTTTTGGGGGGGGGGGGATATTTGAAAGTGCAGGCGTCAGCATTGTACACTTTGTGTGCTCTTGGGTATCATGGCGCCTGTTTCTATTCACACAAAGTGACCCTTCTTTGTGCCTGCCTACCTTTCCCGATTTTTCCTGAACTGGGCTCCCTTGAGAGCTTGACAATTTGGCAGGATCAACAAAAACACAAACCTTGAGAAAAAACAATACACAGAATCAGAGTCCTGAGAGAAAGGTTTTGGACAGCCATTCTGCTAGTAGAGCTACTACTACTACTACTGCTGCTGCTGCTACTACTACTACTACTACTACTAGCACTACTAGCACTACTACCACTACCTCCACTACTAGCACTGTCACCACTACTAGCACTAGCATTACTACCACTATTGCCACTACCACTGCTACCACTACTAGCACCACTAGTACCACGACGACTACTACTACTACTACTGCTGCTGCTGCTGCTACTACTGCTGCTGCTACTACCGTTTGCCAACGCGCTTTCGCGTAGCCCCGGCGTACCCCCCCCCCCCCGCGTTGCCACTTATCAAATGTATGTTCCGCGTAGGTATTTGCTTCCGGCGTGTAGGCCCCACACATATTCTTTTATGAAACGTCCATTTGGGCAAATCCCGACCTCACCAATGGATTTGGAACACCCATTGTGATGGTTCCTTTGATAGTGATCCTTTATTTGGGTTGGTGTTTCTTTCATTCTTCACCCAGACCCATGCATAGCCATTCCAAAGTGCACGGGGTGCTTTGAAGTTGCCCAATGTGGGAATCCTGTTCATGTTCTAACTTTATTAGATCCCCTTGGCATCCCAGAACTCGATGGGATTTCACATCTCCTGGCCCTTCTTCCTTTGTGAACACACAATGTCAACCCTGGATTTCTCAGACTAGTGGACTATCAGGGGGGGGTGGTTCCCCCACAAGTGAACGCGCCGCTCTTATATTGTACCCCCTATACATCAACCGGGGGTTCATTGATCCTGGGTTTCCATATTATTCTTCCTGGGATCATGCGACCGAAGTTGACGGTTTCTGCCAATACTGACTGCATTTCCTTGTTGTACGCCCGTAGTGGAAGCTTGTTGAGCTAGAGCGATGAACATCAATGACTGCTTTCATTCGCTTGAGATTTGTTTGTTTGCCTGTTGCCTTTGCATTCAATTCCCATGGTTGTGACAGACAAGTCATTTCTATATAAGGTAGACAAATGCTCTTTCTGTACAAGGTGGCACCTTAAACAAATGGAATGGTCCATTTACAAGCATCCTGTCAGACATGCCACTTCCATATATATATATATTATACAATCTATTGAGGGCATGGCATTTTTCGTCAGTCACCCACCATTGCAAAAGTGGCGGCATACAGAGCTGCTCCGGCATATGCCAGTGAGCCAAGAGCCATGGCCGAGGTTGACACAATAGCATGTTTGAGGCCGCAGACGTTGCTCGGAGCCTTCTCTTGCCCTTGAGGAAAGGGCAAGTTTGTAGATATCAAGGGGATGGCGATCCTCTGGACAGACACTTTTAGGGGCCTTGCAACAAGTGCCACGTCAATTTGCCCTCACTTGCTTGCCCGCCTTTGCCCCCACCTTAACCTTTTAGCTGTCTAAATAGCCACCGAGAAAGATGAATTCGGAAGCTGCCGGAGAGTGTGCATTTGGAGAAACGGCATGTTACCGAGGCATCCCATTGTATCAAGCTGAAGTTGGGGATGAATTTGGCAGTACAGATTGCTTGCTTCTGTATTTGGCAGTACAGATACAGAAGCAAGCGCAACATGACTTTGATGACTAGGTATAGTTTAGGTAGCCGTATGGGCAGTTTGCACCAACACCGAGTTTACGACGGGTATCCAAAAGTACACTTGGTCTGGAAAATCCTTGGTCAGGTGTCATGACTGCCCTGAGCAAAGTCCTTTCCTAGAGATTCTCCTGGCCATTCCAAGCCTTTTTATTGCCTCTCCGCATGTCCGCCCAGTGCCGGGCAGCCCAGCATGGGCCTTAGTTGATCGATCCGTTCCGTCGCTTCAAGGGTTCCACCCGCGACTTGGAGTCAGGAAGCCCTTCTCGCGAGGACATGCTGTGCTTTTGCCTTGCGTCTTGTGGGATTCGGATCGCTTCTGGGAGAAACACGCCCTGTTAATGCATCACTCCCCGTCCTGGTTGGAACCCCGAGTTCCTGGTTTTGAAACTTGTTGGGAACATGCGGTAAGCATTTGTTTTTGGACTTTTTTTGTGACCAATGCTTCCACGATTGCTGTGAGAGGCGCCTGATGCCTTGATGCCTTCCTAGCCTGCACGCAGCCAGACCGCCCCGTCTCTTGGAGACATGCCCTAAATATTGGGTGTGACGGTGTTTGATTAGATACAGGTGGTGTGTGTGTGTGGTTTTGAAGGAGAAATATCTTTTTGAGGGTTGTTTTGATGGGAAATCAACAAAGCACAGACCATGTTGGGAGGTCTTTCATTTAGCGATATGCCCACATCAAGGCAAGTCAAAACAAGGTTTGTTTTCCTCTTTCCAACAAACATGTGGAGGTGCACAGGAGGCTTTTGTCCTACTGCCATCCAATACCCCTTCTCCACTTCTAATGATTGTTTTGGGCACATTGCAACGAGCTCACCCGCGAAGAATCCTGTCTCAAAGTTTCCTTAATTCTTCGGTATGGAAGAAGGCCTGTGTGATTGGGAAGAAAGCTTTGGCCCAGGTTGGAATTTACCGGGCACTTACCGGGTAGCTTCCGAGGCGTACGGAGCACTGCCAACGCCGTGGTGCACAACTTGGAAGGCACGGTGGAAACCGCCGGGGGGGGGGGGTTGGCCCCAGCCCCTTTCATCTCTTTGATCTCAAGGTCCCGAGGTTCATGTCCAAGGCTTGATGGAGCAAAGCTCGACCACGCCATCTCCACGCCTCAGCATTTTATACATGTAAATATGGTTGTTTGGTTGTATCTTCCTATTCACCTTTTTCTCCCATCTTTCTTGACCTGATAAACCTCTACTTCATCCTGAGCCTCCCATACCGACTGCATTTCAGAGTGTCTTGGTGGCATGGCTTTGCTGTACGTAGTCGGTTCAGGAGTTCCGGGCATACCCGCCTTCCAGCAGCCTTGTGAAACACAGTTTTTTGGATCCCGAGACCGCCTTAGCGATAGCCCTAAGGCCGGGAAGATGCAGCGATTCCACTTCCTTTTTGGATTTATCCTCAGGCTTCGCGTGGAGCAAGTGCTGGAGCCCTGTACTGACAAATGACTATGTTGACCCCGGATCAATCGACATGGTAGATTGCTAGGGGGTGACCCTCAGAAATGATACGATGCCCTCGAATCTGGGATGCCCCACATGAATCAATCAGGGGTTTGTTCATCCTGGGTTCCCAACGAAGACACTTTCAAAGCCGCTTGCTTTGAAGCCACTGACCGCACCCTCTTGGGTGCTACGAGCTGGACGAGTGGTCATGGACTCAAGGAAGTTTGGTTGGCATGCGCCAAATTATGGCATCAATCAAAAAGATGAGGCTGTCAACAAAAACTATCCAATCAATAGGGCGTGATTGTTCGCGCCGTAGACACCTGGTGCCCGGGACATTCACTCTTCCTTGGGGGGGAGGAGGGGGGGGGGGTTCGGGTTTTGTTTCGGAGGGGGGGGGGTAGTAAGCACACGGCTGACAACATGCTCATGGCTCATGTTTGCCGGGGAGGGGGGGGGGAGGTTGGGGGTTTCGATAAGCACACGCCTGACAATGTGGCTCATACTTGCATTTCTTCGTCGCGAATAATTCTCAGATTAGGGGCATGTACCAGGAATATCATGGTAAGATCGTGCCATGGCCGTCTGATCCGCTCTTGTGCATGTGGCTCGCGCTCATGCAGCTGCCGTCCTCATCTTGGTGCCCCACTCACGAGCTTATTAGTGTCTGTGCTTTTGTGGGGTGTGGACACCTTGTTTGCGGCTCACATGCTCCGAAGCCCCCATGTGCACAGAGAATGCGAGGCCCCGTCAACATACAGAATCGTCTGGATATGCTCCGGCCGCCATCTTTGCAGACAGCATGATCAAGTCCTGGTTGAAGTTGGCTTCGTGAAAAACAGCCGGCCTGCGTGTGGGGCTTTAGCATCGCTTTTAAAGCGACATGCTGCTTCTTCAGGATGGCGATTCTTGAATGTGTTCAAACCTCCACGCAGGCCATGTGTTTCAAGCTGCCATGCGATCCACTTGAAGTATGCCAGTAATTTTCTCTAATCAACTACCAGGAAAGTACTGCGCAAGCACGTGGTGAACTCATGATTGAAACGCCACAGAGCACCGGTTTTCCCATTGTTTTTGCTGGACGAGCATCCATGATAATGCAGCGGACCAAAGCAAAATCTACCTTTAGAGTGCGGAAAGGCTTTTTCTGCACTCAATCACTGGTGATGCTGGGGATTGCGACATTTACTTTGAGTAAGCGGAGAAGTGACATCTACTTTCAACAAGCGGAAAAGCATTTCCTTCATAAAGCACTGGTGATGCTGGTGCCGTCGACCGCTTGAGCTTACCGACCAAAGCGACATCTACTCTTGGTAAGCGGAGTGTTGTTTCTTGAACTAATAAGGAGGTGTTGCCCACTGCATTCAGCAAAGACCGTCCAAATAAGACTGAGTCATGTGAAAAGCGCAATTTCAGAATTCGTTGTTTCAAGAATTTGATGACGCCGAGCGACTCTGAGAAGTCGAGCTTGGAACCCGCGACATTTGGGAGTGTCGACCAGCTTACGGACGAGAGCGACATCCACTTTCAGTAGGCGGAAAGGTATTTTCATGTATTAAAACACAAGTGATGCCTGGGGGTGTCGACCACTTGATGTTGAATACTTTAGTCAACAAAGACCGTCAAGAGTAGACCGAGTCATGTCAGGCTTCCAAAACATCAATTTAGCAATTCGTTTTGTGAAAACTTTGGCATCGAATGACTTTGGAAACTCGCGTTTGGAAACCGCGACGTCTACTTTTGAACACATTGCATTTGTTCATGTGTTTCGGAGTGCAGGGCCTATGCCCTCCCACCAATTAACATGAAACTGACCGGGGGGTCCTGGAAAACCATTTTCCTTTTGAAGGGACCCCCTGTCAGGTTCCATGTTTGTTGGTGGGAGGATAGCGCAAACACTTTTGATTACAAAACAGGTCGACAGTTCGGTGTGTGTGTGTGTGCACGCATCATATCATTTGTATGATATACACAATGTATGCGTGCGTGTACATCTATTCACGTACACGCATACATATCCATGCGATGCACACATTTCAAGTGTTGTGCAAAGTGCAACGGGCACATCTCTCTCAATCTCTCTCTTTCTCTCTCTATATATGTACCAGGCGTCCACGGCCTGGAACATATATACGTGTCACAAATGCTATGAAGCAGTGCAACCCTTCACTACCTTCACGTGGGTCATCTACGCATAGCGCAGGTTTGTTTGTTGCGTTTGCGCCGCCGTCCATCGCATGCTCTGGATTTTACGAGTCAGACTAAACCCATTTTTTTGCCACACTTGACCAGCCTACCTACTACAAGGTCCCAAAAAATTGAGCAGGGTTGTGCGCGACTGCAAAGCCAGATAAGTCATGCTCATAGAATACTCATGCAATTATTTAGCCCCTTTTACTATGGGTTTTTGGGTAGAGCGATTTACCAGGCCGTGACTTCTTTGCCTCTCGATTTGGGTCCGGTCGGGGCAAAGCGCAGGTGGCTTGGCGCACCCCCAGGAGGGCAGCGCCCTTTGCGGAGGTGTGCCCTTCCTACGAAAAGAGGGGGAGACGATGCCAGGGGCCAGAGCCAGAGGCGAGAGGGCGACCCGGTGAAGTGCGCAAGCACGAGCTATGGGGTTGAATTTACAACACAAGACCAATGCATATTTATATATGTTTTTACGTTTGATATTGTGCATGCTCATGCCTTGCACATGTGCAGATGTTACGCACATGCGCGTGTTGGTTATACATATACACATATAAACTTGCACATTTGCACATGTCCCAGCTGAGAAGGGGCCGAAACCGGGTCTGGCTTGCATTGGTTTGCCGCACACACCAACAGGCAGCCTGGATCATGCTGGTTTCCCGTCCAGAAGAATCTCCTAAAAGGAATCCTGAAGCGGCAGTTTGGCTCGGATGCGGGCTTTCCAGGTAGGGTGAATGACTATTTGGATGTTCACAGGACAGTGACAATCATTTGCAACTGCTGGCCTTCCCTCGTCTCTTCCTCTGGGTTCATTCGGGGTCATTCCTAGGCCATAAGAATCCCTGGTCAAACGGCAGATTGAAAACGACAGCATTCGGACGGTGGCAGCGAAGAGATGTTGGAGCACTGTCAAGAACGGCGTCTAGGCTGACTGGCCATCACTGTTCGGAAAATAGCCTCCAAAGCAAACTGGGCCCGGTTGCCTTCGGTTGGCCAGGGTTTGTGTTCTCCTGTGTCTGGGTGGGGCCAAATGGTAAACACGAACCAGGCTTGGGTTGGGATCTTCATAAGATCAAATCCGTTCAAATACGCAGGTCTTCAGATCCCCACCCCCCAACTGCATGGAAGGGCGGCCGTACTCCCAATAAGGTACCCTGCTTCATACCTCATCCTTTGGGGGAAAAAGGGAGATCATGTACATAGGGTGGCCTCCACCTTTTTCCAGGGGCCGGGTAATAGTCGGGGACAATTTTGGGGCCACAGTTGGACAAGGAGAAAAGCCTAGCCCTAGGTGCGTGGAAGGGGACAAGCTGCTGTCTCATAGCAGCTGCTGTTTGGCCTGGAAGGCGGGATACAACAGCTGAAACACCCTGTTGATTTGACGTGATCTGGTTTGGCTTGATTTGATTTGTGTCACTCAGTGGTTTGGGCTAAAGCAACAGGCAGATGCACCCGGGCTTGCTCAGCCCTTTGCCTTCCGAAAGGAAGCGCGAGATCTTACACAAGTGAATTGCAGGCTAATCGTTTTTCAACTTTTCAGGGGACCC